CTTCAACTGGAACGCATCTGCCATTCCATTACAATATGGACAAGATAATCTCCCATGTGTAGTCCATCCAGACAACAGCCCATATGCAGGAAAGTCACTTACGGTCCATAAAAGCATTGCTAGCATGGTAAAATTTATTTCCGTTAAACAATCATACGTCCTCACCCCCCTTGACCACAAATCTTTCAACTCTTTTATCAAAGGTTGTAGAAAGACATGGAGAGACCTTTTTGGATGCTTCAGACTAGGTATTAATATTGTCATGAATAGCAACTCCCATCGCATGCACATCTCCGGTGGCAGGTTGTATGGCGTAAGAAAGACTGGCCACAATGAATATTGTCTCCCCGACATTCCAAATGGACTAAATCCATTTGTGCATAATCCAAGATACACATTCCGGCTATTGCTAGCGAAATCTGGATGTATTTTGTTAAAATGTTTCCAAGCTCTTGCATCTGATGGATGAGTCATCTCACCCTCCGTCTGAGTATGCTCACCATGCCATCTCATCCATCCAGCAGTCTCCTCAGATTTGTACAATCTTTTCAATCTGTCTGTAATTGGTAGGTACCACATCCTTTCGTACGGTACCCTATTACGCCCTCGTCCTTGTGGTTGGAATCATGGTTTCTTGCAGCATCGACCTTCTTCTAACTTCTCATCATCTCCCCAGTAAATCATGCAATTATCGATGCAAATGTCTATCATCTCTGAAGACAACCCAAGACTATAAACTAATTTTGAATCTCATAATAAGAATCTGCAGACACATTATCTTCCGGCAAATACTCTTTAAACAAGTATGCCCATGCATCCATGCAATTTTCAAGTAGATTGTGATCGGTTTTAATATTCATCATTCTAGCAGCCAACGTCAGTTTAGAGAGACCTTCTCTACCACCACTTTAAATTGGTTGTTTCGCAGCATCTAACATTTCATAAAACTTTTTTGCATCTATGTTAGGTTCTTCTTCATCATGAGCTACAAATGCATCACCGACCATATCATGAACCCTATGATAATCTACCATTTCTTCCTCATGATGGTAACTATTTCCATTGTGCAAATGATCAACCGGTTCAACCTGAAAATTGCTATTACTATTGCTAACTTCATTCCCACAACTATAACTTTCTCCATGTTGAAACCAAATATAGTAATGTGACATGAAACCTCTGTTTATTAAATGCTTCCAAACATTTTCACGAGTACCTAATTTTGAATTGTTGCATTTCCGACAAGGACATAACATCTTACCGTTTTTCTGCGTGAGCGGTGTAGAATCTCCTTGATGCATTAATGTCTCCAGCCCTTCGAAGAATTCTTTCGTCACCCTCCCGTTACCATCTCTTTGTGTATACATCTTCCTCCGACTCTCAAAAATATTTCCATCACCGGACATTTTTTTTTCTTTCACGTTTTCAAGTTTTTCTCTCTCTTTTACGTTTTCAATTTTTTGGTGTGTTTTATTTGAAACCAAAATGACATATTTATAGGAAAATTTGAAAGTTAGTAGGTGAAATTTTACCACGAATTTACGAGGAAAATTAGAACACTACAAACACGTTTACAACTAAAAAGTAGTTAGACTCATTATTTCCTCGTTAAAGGGTTTCCTCGTGAGATACACACACTATTAGCGAGTACTTTACGAGGAAACCAGTCTACCACGTATGTTCCTCGCTAATTAACGTCTTTTTTACGAGGAAAACCTTTTTCGTTAATTAACGATGAATCTATGTGGATTCAATATTTCCTCGTAAGATACTCGTTAACCCCACGTAAATTTACGAAAACCTTGTTTCCTCGTTAATTTTCATAGTTAAAAAATTGTTTTCTTGTAGTGTTTCTTTGGTCCTAGCACTCGAAACGAGACAAGTACGTCTGTACATAGGACGTAAGATGAAACACAAGGAGTGGAGCATGGTTGACCCTAGAAGAAGATATCAAGAAAATTACTTATCAAGCAAAGATCACAAGCGGATCATGAATATAAAGAAGGCGACAAGAGTAGCAGCGAGTGAAAAGGAAACCTAGAGGCAAAAAGAAAAAGAAAAGGGGAATAAAAAGAAGAAAATAAGAGTTGTTTCTTTCTTCTCGGAGAAGCCGCTTAAGCAAAGGGAGATACAATTGAATCCACAAATCAAGAATTTAATCATATGATATTCAAACCTCCTTCCTTTTGGAAAGCGAGAATGTCCAGCACAACCCTGAAACGAAGGAAAGAAAATCCTACAAAAGTCAAAAATAATTGAAAGGAAGATTCCACCAGTAAGAAGTCTCCTTCCAACCAATTCCATTATCCAACATCAAGACAAGAATTCCTACTTCCTGAGCAAGAAGATAAACTTCCCTCGATAGATGCTGGCAAATCTATGCTATCCGTATCATACAAACAAAATATATGTCCATTGTAACATCCTACTACTTAATTCCTGGTTCAGGTCCGGATCCGTTGTCTAAAAGTAAGAAAACAAGATATTAACTTTAGTACATCGAAAATTCATTTAACTGATGCGGCCATGTGCCACTCGTGTAAGACTATCAGAAGGCTACATGCCTTAGAAGACTACGTGCCCCTCATGCCACTCGCCATTAAGGCCATGCGCCAAAAAACAATGGATCTTGTTAATCAATGAATATGAATTCATGATCATGAATCCCATAAACTAATATGATCACTTACGACCCTGAGCCTAAATCACTTAAGCAACAACATATATCCTTGGAATACTAACAGCTAGGAATCTACTAGTGGGTTTCCATATGGTCCATGAAAAGAAGGAAAAAAATCCTACAAGATTAAAAGATAATTGAAAGGCAGATTCCAAAGTAAGAAGTCTCCTTCCAACCAAGTCCATGTTCCAACATCTAGACTAGAATTCTTGCACCCGAGCAAGAAGATAAATTTCCTCCGACAGATGCTGGAAAATCTATGCTATCTATATCATACAAACAAAATATATGCCCATTGTAACATCCTACTACTTAATTCTTGGTTCAGACCCGGATCCGTCATCTAAAAGTAAGGAAACAAGGTATTAATTGAAGGACATCAAAAATTCATTTACCTGATGCGGCCATGTGCCATTTGTATAAGACTATCACAAGGCTCCATGCCTTAGAAGACTACGTGCCCCTCAGGCCACTCGCCATTAAGGTCATGCGCCAAAAACAACGGATTTTCTTAATCAATGAATACAAATCAAGGATCATAAATCCCATAAATTAATATGATAACTTAAGACACTGAGTCTAAATCACCTAAGGAACGACATGTATCCTTCGAATTCTAACAGCTAGGTATCTGTTAGTGGGTTTCCATTTGGTCCGTGCCGAGGCAACCTGAGAAAAACCTTTAAAAGAAGTGGCGTCTTGCTAATACTGTTCATGAGTCTGCTGAGAAGGTATTATGACTCCGATCAACCAAAGTGGACATGTTATCTCCCAAATTCATCCATTAAATTAAAAGATAAGGGGAAAACTGTTGGGGGTAGTTAATTCAAAGAATTATTATTCCTAATTATGAGCAAGACACCTTCTTTTGATTCCTGCTTAGAAGAATTTCGGCTCCAGATCCAGATTGGTTCTTGCCTCCAGGTAAAATTTTTTACTAAAGAAAAATATTTCCATATTTCATAATTTGGAAGGATCTAACATAATTTTTGACTAACGTCCATTTATAAAAGAGGACTCTAAACCCTTGGAACAAATGATAGACAATTCAAGAGTTCGACTATAGCTTTAGACAGCTAGATTAGGCTTCTTTATCCAATACAGTAAAACCTCTATAAATTAATAATGCTGGGACTTTTAAATATTATTAATTTATAGAGATATTAATTTACAAAAATTTCTTTATTTAGATTTTTTTATTTTAAGATATATTTATTTTAAGATACGAAAAATATTTTATTTTAATGTATAGACATTAATCATTATTTTTTAAATTTTCACATTTATCTTATTATTTTTTATATTATTTGATATGTAATATATATATTTTCATAAAATTTAAATGTGATTTAAGATATATATACTAAATCTCGTTAAAAATATATTATGTGTTAAGAAAATGTAAAGACAATTCCATTATAAATTTAAAACAAACAATATAATGCTAGGTTTTTACTTATATAAAATATGTATATATAGAAATTATTAATTTATAATTTTAATGAGACCATATATTTACATAGAATTTTCTAAAAATTTATTATCTTATTATTTTATCGATTTGTGTCAAATTTTGAATCGGCCCAAGTTGGGACCGGTGAAATTTATTAATTAATACAAATTATTAATTTATCGAGTATTAATTTATAGAGGTTCTACTGTATGTTGTAGTCACGGCTCTAATGATCAATAAAACAATACTCCCTCTGTTTCATTATAAGTGTCACTCTACAGCTGTGCACACGAATTAAGGAAACAATTAATTTTACATATTTCCTATATAAAAACACAATTACCCATACACCTAACCATATTTTAACCAATAGAAAAATAAATTACATAATAAAATTAATAAATTTTGCATTGAAAACCAAAAACGACACTTATTTTGTAACGCAAAAAAATCTCTACAACGACACTTAATATAAAACGGAGGGAGTACTTAGTTTTCAAAGATACTAATACTTTCAACTAGCCCGGAATGCAATATGGGTTTACAAGCCCAATATAAAATCTGTGAAAAAATAAAATAAGCCGAAACTTTAAAATGTTGAAGATAAGCCCGAAACGTAGTTCGTCTAAATCGACTACACTGTACACACTAAAAAAGACTGGTACAACACAGACTGATTAACTCATACTATGCTACGTGTACGACTATGATGCAGTACTACACACTAACGAAATACACCTATATGCAGCAGATAATCATTTGTGCGATTAAAAATTTTTTAAGGAAAAAATGAGATATTTTTCTGAAGACCACTGTATATAAATATACCCTTAAACCCTACTCCTTGGCCTCATTCACACCACGTCCCCTGCCTCCAAAACCCTAGTTTCCAAGCTTTATTCAGGTACCGATTTACTTCATTTTTCTCGTTGATCTTCTTTTTCTATTTCGTGTTCGCTTGAGTCTCCTCGTACGTCTGTTCCGATTGGTCTTTAACGGATCAGGAGCTTGTGAATACGCTTTCTGTTTTAAGTTGAGTTCAGATCTGCGTAATCTAATCACCGAATTAGGTTTAGGGTTCTTGTTACTTATTGTTTTTTAACTGTTTGATTGGGATTTGTGTAGAAATGGCTTTCTGCAAAAGTCTCGGTGGTCTATTGAGACAAGGGAACATTTCTCAGACCAGAAATGTTCCGGTTACGTCTATGCTCGGTTCTCTCCGGTACATGTCTACCAAGCTTTTTGTCGGAGGTATAGATCTTGTCTGTGTACCTTATGAGAGATTATAGACTTTGTTTGTTTCTTAGTGGTTTAATCTGTATGAATGGTTTAGGTCTCTCATGGGGAACTGATGATACATCATTGAGAGATGCCTTTTCTAACTTCGGTGAAGTGATTGATGGTAAGTAATGATTCAAATACTGGATTGTCATGTTACATTTGTGAAAGAGTTAATTTTTTTATTATTATTTTTGTGTGCAGCTAAAGTCATCGTTGATAGAGAGACAGGAAGATCAAGGGGTTTTGGATTTGTCAACTTCGAAGATGACAACGCTGCTAATACTGCCATTTCAGAGATGGATGGAAAGGTTTGTTTTGGATTCTCAGTAATCCTTCTTAAATGGTAGTTGTTTGAAGTTTTGTTGATTTAACTTATATATGCCTTTTGGTTTTGTAATTGCAGGAACTGAATGGGCGCAACATTCGTGTTAATGTTGCTAACGAAAGACCAAGTACTCCCCGTTATGGTGGAGGTGGTGGCTACGGTGGTGGTGGTGGCGGCTATGGTGGAGGTGGAAGTGCCTACGGAGGAGGTGGTGGTGGTGGCGGCTATGGAGGAGGTGATGGTGGTGCTTACTAAACAGTGAAAGAAAGCTTCTTGTGAAGAAGAGTTATGGTTTCTGTTTGGTTACTTTCTTAAATTGAATCTTTGTCTTGAGTTGGAACTCAAACTCAATAGTCATCACTCTTTTTCAGTTTACATTTTTGTTGAATGTTTTGTTGCGCCTATTAGGCCTTTCCCCTCGGTTCGTGTTAGCTTCCATTTACATTGTAGAATAAATCTAATAGAGAAATTAGATTCGAGAATCTTAATTATCTTCGTTTTGAGTCGAACCTTGCCCATACGAGCTGACGTTGGAGGCGTTAAGTGAGGTCATGGAAAGGCTCCTCCCTAGTGTGTTGAGGAGATGTGAACCAGCAATTTGAATTTTTTTTTCTTGGGTCATTTTAACACCATTATTTGATGCTTTTTGTCGGTGTCTCAGTTTATCCTTGGCTCTCCAGAATGAGGATTATAAAATATACAACCAAATTCGTAAAACGGGGCACAATTAGCCCCGATGGGTTTTGCCTGTACTGAGACCTGTAATATTGATTGCTTAGGTCACCTATGAGGCACTAGTGACCGTTTTTCATAAGAATTGTGATCCTTTTCAAAATTCAACAACCAACTTCCAAATTTTGTTTTTCTAACATATAGGCCTACAAAATTTTTAAATCATACAAATCTTGGAAGCTATTCTCTCAGTTGCTATATATATGGGATAATTCTCATTTTATCACACATTTGATACCATTTTTCAAATTTGCCTTCAAAGAATTTCCAGGAAAATTCCTACATCTTACAACAAAGTTTGCTCGTTCCACAGCTATGTTGAACGTGACCATATGCTCGATAAGATCTGTGTCACCTCAGAAAGCTGAGGTCTTGATCTTGTCCGAGTGCTGGACTCGTACTTCAGTAATTTTATTCGTGAAGGGAGCCTTTTGTGTCGCAACAAGAACAGCTCTATCTCTGGTGACGAGTTTGTTGTATGATGAACCATCAACGAGATGTCTTGTATCGAGTTCCAAAGGGAATTGATTTCTTGGTTGCTTTTTTTCTGTAGTTAGTTTATCTCTACATGATGTCCTGCCATGTTTGAGTCAGTTCAAACCATTTTCTTGCGGATTCAGATAGGGATCATGAAGCGGTGACTATATGTAGGTTGCGGCTAGGGTGTGAGCCTTTCATTGGTAGCCTTGTTGGATGTATTTTGTCGCACAAAGCATTTCACCAAACTCTACGTGAGAGACGGTCAATCTCGTGGCGTATCAACACTAATTGTTCATTTAATCAGACTTTGACTAAAAATTGGTTTTTTTTTCGATTTTGTGTATTAAAAGGTTTATTTTACTTCAGTTTGGAGAAATTTGATGTAAATGAGTAAGAAGATGATGAAAAAGAGTAAAAAAACAGAAAAAAATAGAGGTGTGACCGCCGACCAATCAAGGAAAGGAGATGATGTAAGAAAATTATAATTTTATCCTTTGTTATTAGAAAATAAGAAAAAAACCCCAGAAGCGAAAGAGATAGCAAAGAATCTGCTGGGTAAGGAGGGTGGTTTGGGGAAATATCTAGACCTTCCAGAGCACTTCGGACGTAAAAAAAAAGATTTGTTTACCTCTATAGTGGATAAGATTCGACAAAGAGCTGCAAATTGGTCCACACGCTTCCTCTCGAGAGCTGGTAAGCTTACGATGCTCAAGGCTGTTCTTACAGCCATCCCCACCTATGCCATGTCTTACTTCCTTTTGGCTCAAAGTCTGTGTAATAGGATCTAGTCTGCGCTAACTCGGTTCTGGTGGAATAAAGACCCTGACAAAAAAGGTATGTGCTGGCTAGCATTGGGAAAGCTCACAAAACCGAAGAAGGCAGGAGGTCTGGATCTGAGAGACATACAACTCTTCAACCAAGCACTTCTGGCAAAAAATGCGTGGAGAATTCTGTCTGCTCCAATCAGTTTACTGGCTAGGGTGTTAACCGGGAAGTACTGCCATAAGAAGAACTTCCTTGATGCTCAAGTCCCGTTGGTGTGCTCCCATGGGTGGCGGAGTATTCTCCACGGTAGAGATCTGCTGCAGCAGAACCTAGGCAAAGCAATAGGAAATAGTCAGAATATAAGAGTTTGGAGAGTTGCGTGGATATCTCTCGACCACCCTCTTAAACCCTTTGGCCCTTTCCATGAGTCCTTTTTGGACCTTAGAGTCTCTGATCTCCTTACGGACGATCTGCAGTGGAATAAAGAAAGGATTGACCAGATCTTACCAAATTTCAGCAACCAAATTCTTTGCTTGAAGCCAAGTAAAGAAGGAGCAGAAGATTCCTATGTTTGGCTTCCTCTGGACTCTGGGATCTATTCGACAAAATCTGGTTACAACACCATGTCCCAGACCAACCTCGTCCCTGGTACCACAACGGCGTCTCCTATTGATGAGGAATTCCTTTGACAAAAAGATGTATGGTCAGTAAAAACAACGCCTAAATTAAAGCTTTTCTTATGGTCATTTCTACAAGGAGCTCTACCTTTAGGAGTTGAACTCAAACGTCGGGGAATGCTCACAGCGGCCCCTTGTCCTCGCTGTTTAGAAGAGGAATCAGCCCTCCCTGTCTTTTTCAAGTGCCCCTTCGCCAAAGAAGTATGGCGTTTATCTCCTATCTCTGCACCAGTTCACCTAGCTGAGGGAGATAGCTTGAAATCCACGCTGGTCAAATTCAGGAGAGCAACGTGTCTCCCCCCCCCCACAGGAGTCACCGTCCCCGTGGTCCCCTGGATCCTCTGGTCATTGTGGATGGCCAGAAACAAGTTAATTTTCGAAGACAAGACAACACAACCTATGGAAATAGCCACAAAAGGAATCTCGCCAGCTCTTGAGTGGGTTCAAGCGCAATACAATTTCAACCCCAAGACTCAGAGTTCCTTACCTATAAATCGTGCTCATCTAACCTCATCAAGACCACCTGCAATCACGTCGTGTTTCGTGGATGTAGCTTAGGAGACGGCGTCAAATACTGCTGAAATCGCTTGGATCTTTTCCTCAAACCATTCTTCCCCGTCCCCTTCATGATCGATGGTCGTAAAGGATGTCTCCTCACCTTTGATGGCCGAATCTTTAGCTCTCCGTTCCGGTATCGCCGAAGCCCTAAGCCTAGGGCTTTCATCAGTCTCGTTTCACTCCGACTGCGCAACGCTCATCCGAGCAATTTCATCTGGAAGTCCGATCAAGGACCTCTACGGTGTTCCTCACGACATCAAGTCTCTCTCGTCTCACTTCTCTTCTATCTCTTTCCTGCTCATCTCTTGTTCCCACAACAGAGAAGCAGATGTTTTAGCTAAACAGGCCCTAAAAGCCCATCGCATTTCAGCTTCTAGTCTTTGTCCTACACCTTTTGTTTCGTTGGGCTAGCCCCCCTGTGGGCCTGAACCTCCTATTTGTTTATCTTGCTCTTAATTAAAAATCAGTTGTTCAAAAAAATAAATAATAAAAAATAAACAAAACAACACTAAAAAGCTCTGAGCTCGGTTTACTAACTAGCTTTATCAGCTTACAACTGCCTAATCAAACGTACCTTTTTGTGAAAAGATAACAATTAATCCCCTATATATTAATTGAGAATCATTTAAAAATTGTAACCTTAAGTTTGTAAGAATTAAAAATAACCTCAATCCTATGTGGCATAGCTCTTTGGCTTCTATTTCAAATCCCAAGAATTCTAGAGTATGTGATATAATGTATAGTCTAAAAATTATACTTTCTAGCAATATAATATTTCGTAGGCTATAGTTAGTCGCATATATCAAATATTTATTGTTTCGCGTGCTTTCCTTAAAATATATATATGACAATTAATGATTTTAAACAATAAAGATTTGATAACAATCTGTATAATTTTTTCTCATTTTTTATTTCTTTATTATTACAATAAATTACACAATTACATTAATCATATAAGAAAAATTTAGATTTTTTTTGTGTATGTTGTATTTCGAATTTTTCAAAATGAGTATAAATTACTAAAATTGTTAAAAGTCCCACATAAAATTTTAGGATCAAGATTTTATTTTTTTCTATATATATTAAATATAATGATTATAAGACAATTTGAAGAAATAATTTTAGTTTATATACTAATGTTTTAATTAAACTATCCATCGTATGAAAATACATACTTATATTTTGATATTTGCCTTGAACATATATTGGAAATTTAATATTTTAATTTTAAAATATGTCATTGTTTTGTAAAATGATTATAAATTATTGAAACTACTAAACATCTCACATTAAAAAAAATCGTTGGTGTAAAGTTTTGTTACAAAAATATGCAAATAATCATAAAATCATATGAGTAGAAACCTCATTTAATAAATATACATATTAAAGTGTGCTATTTACTATTTTATATCATTTAAATTTAATTATATATCATATACAATATATAAGATTGATTATTTTGATTTATTTGCCCTAATTGCAAATAAACAAGACTGATAGTTAAATTTATATGCATACGCCAATTTATTACATACTAGTAACTGATTTCTTAGTTATTTAATATATATATTTATTATTTTATTATTTTATAATTTGCAGAAAATATAAATAAATAATAAATATAAAATACTTATTGTGCATAAAGTGCAAATCTTAACCTAAGTATGTATCTATTAATTTATTTTAAATCTTAAGTATTTTCTAAATACCAAGTAAAAAAACGAAATGAGAATAAACTTCAAAATATATATTTAGAGCGAGTAATAACCAAAATATAAAAAAACACAACAAGAGAAAAATTAAAGATAAATAGGATTGACACGTGAACGTAAACTTCTCATAACCATAATTAATTTTTAAATTGTTAAATCATGATAAAAAATGATTTAATTTTTAATTTGTTATTTTTTAAAAAATATATTTTTAAACCATTATGGTTATGTTAAATCATGACCATAATTAATTTTAAATTTTTTATTTGTAATTGAAAAACTTAAAATATTATTTTTAAAATAATTTAAAATTTAACTTAATTTTTTTATAAAATTATTTTAAAAATATAATTTCTAAGAAATACAATTTTCTAATATTATTAGACAATTAATAAATTATATTAAATTAGTTTTCAAATTTTATATATTTTAAATGCAAATATTTTACAAACTTCTTCTTAAAAAAATATTAGGGAATTTGCTAATACTCTACATGGATTTTACCTATTTTATCCATAATATATATATATATATATATATATACTTTTTTTTGTAGTGCTTTATATGCATTTCAAGTTGTTTTTGAGTCATTACAGGTTCATGTACTCGTTGGAAGTGATTGGAGTTTTTTGGATCATTTTAGAGTATTGAAGTATGCTTTCCTGAAAACTCAAGTCGAAGTCAAATTTTATAGAAGACATCTATTGACGGTACAACTTATGTGTCGTTCACATGGATGCGGAACTACCAGTGTGGTTTACAGAGTCTATTTGAGTCTGTTTTAGTCGATGGCAAAAAAAAAAAAAAACTTAGTTAAAGTATTAAAATGGGTAGTGAAAAAGTTTGGTATTAAAAAACTTAATAAAAATTTGTTGAATTATTTTTATGAAATTTTTCCTATAAAATATGTATAATTATCATTTGCCTCTCTAATGGAAGCTAATTTGCTCATTTTGACTCTGAAGACTAGTTTGAGAACAAAAAATATGTTTAGTGACTATTTGAAGCAATTTCCATAAAATTTAACTCACTTTTTAAACGCTACATAATATAATAGACGTAACAGAAGAAAAATGCAAGTACACATCATATTCAAAAGTTTTGGCCCGAGAAACCACTATGATGATTTGGGTAAATAATCAAATAAACCATAAGATCTTCAGAAATTATTTTTTTGATGAGAGTAAAGAGTGATTGCAGTCGCAGCAATGTTTCTATCTGGTGAACCACGATCTAGGCTCCATATCTCAATTTGAGGAATTAAGTATGATTTTAGTGACAAAATGATTGAGTTGTGAGAATTGAAGAGGCAACAAACAACACCTCACATGGATTGACAAATGATGTCCCAAAAACTTAATGCAACTTACAATAACAAAGCAACGAGAAAAACATTTATATGTCTATGGCATAAGAAGTGAAACAATCCACACACCAGAAAAGAGTATGACATCAACAACCAAACAAAGTATTGTCATCATGCTTTAGAAGTGCTGTAGAAATTTTCCACAGCCCAAATTATTTCTAAAGCAAAAAAAATTTCCAATCATGCTTTCAAAAGATTTTTTAAAGCCACATATTTTTCTTTCTTTTTTGTTTAGTTTTGGCTATGGAAAACACTAAACCTAGAGCATTTATTTTTTGCTTTAAAAATTTATATGTAAATGATTAAATTATATTTAAATCTACAGCCAAAATTTTACAGCTAAATTATCTACAACCACAGCAAAAAATTCTATAGCTATAATTCTAGAGCAAAAAATATAAAACTACAGCTCATTCCAATCAATCTCTTTGGTAATTTTATACCATATTGTTTTAACTATTCAGAATACTCTTGGTTAGTTTAAATAGTTTAGTTAATCCTTTATCGATTTTTTAATAGTTCAGATACATTAAATTTTAATTAACATTTTATTATTAATTTATATGATTTCAGACAATAGTTACAACCTGACGTAAAATGAATCTGTTAGGAACAAATCTTTCAACGAATACTAAAAAAACTTGAATTATTTTTATATCCCCTATATATTAACTGAGAAACATTGAAAAAGTTGTAATCTTAACTTTGTATTAATTAAAAAGTAACCTCAACCTACATGGCATCTTTATATGCCTTTTATTTTAATATAGAAGGATTTTAGAGCACTAAATATAAATCATAGTTTTAAAACATGATCCGTTGGTCTCATATAAGACATATAAAAATAATATATCAAACTAAATTTCCTACATATTTTTTCCTTAAATAAAACTTACGGAATTACCTAATGTGATTAAAATATATATGACTCTTAATGAATTTAAATAATAAAGATTTGTTAACAATGTGTATACTTTATATCATTTTGTTTAATTTTTTTATTATTAAAATAAACTACACAACTACACTAATCATATAATAAAAAAATAGATTTATTTTTTATATATGTTGTATTTTGAAATTTTCAAAATGAGTATAAATTAAAAAGCTGTTAAAAATCCCGCATAAACTTTTGTGATCAAGGTCTAAACTATTTTTTATAATGAGTTACAATGATTATAAAATCATATAAATAAGTAATTTTCTTTTAATAGGTGCTTATGTTAATATATATATATATATATATATATATCATATGAATAAATAATATTTTTTAAACATAATTATAATTTAAAATTTAACTGAATTTATTTATAGAATTATGTTTATTTACAAAATGTTTTTTAAAAATATAATTTTCTGATATTATTAGACAAATAAATAAATTATATTAAATTATTTTTGAAACTTTATACATTCTAAATGGAAATATTCTACCAACTGCTTCTTAACAAAGCATTAGGGAACTCGATAATGTTCTACCAATTAAGCCATGTGACACTCCGTTTATTTTCCATCACTTGAACACTGAAAAGTGAAAAGATATATGAACCGAACGACCCACTAAATTCTAAGTTTTGATCTACTGTTCTAATTACAATTGTTTCTGATCATACGTATAGATAATTACAATTGTTTCTGATCACACTGCACAAACGTAGTTCTTATCCTAATTAAACGTATATGGTACCGAAAGTCTGAAAAAAAAAGAGATTCCTATAACCTGAACGTGACCCCAAACACTCATGTCTAATTGATATCATATATTATGGGTAACCTTTAAAAATAATACGAACATCATCTCCAATATGTTTTTGACATTATTTTGTTCCTTGATGTTTACTTATACATTTGGAAACAGTTGACATTTCATAGCATTGCAGAAATCATACAGGAGTTTTATCGTTCAAACAATCATATTTGCAATGACAATAATTTTTGGCTTTTATGTCGCAAAAGCCATTTGAGTCTGGTCCAAGTTTATCTCGGCAAGAGTTATCACAATCTGGAAATTTAGCGCATGGTCCAATCAATAGGTCGCACACTTTCCATCCCATATTCTGTTCACCTATATAAGAAAAAACTATATTAAATCTAGATAGCAAAAAACTTACGAATAGTTAATCAATATATGAAGCTACAATATATGTTATACGTGGAAATGAATAGTGGGCTGAATCTAAAAGCTATAGAAAATAATAGTTAACTTTTAATAATATTAGTAGGGATCAGTTATAAAGATAAATGATACATAAGGCTATATTTTATACAAAAAATGTATACTGTAGTCTGTAGACTACGGACACAATCAACAAGAAGATATGGGGGTATATACTTATCAAGAGAACCAGCACTATAAAGTAATTGTATTGTGAAAATGTTATTAAATACAACTTTTATGAATAAATTTTAACAAAATGTGTACCTAAGGAAAACAAAACAAGGAAGATTATGGGGAGAGCAAGTGAAGAAGCTGCCTTGGCCATTTTGTTTTTGATATTTGTGTATATTGATTGTAGATAGATCTAACAAAGTTGGAATACTAGTAAAAACCTTTATATAAAATTACCAGGTGATAATTATAGAATATCACTAGTTTTTAAAGTATTTGACTATATCTGCTTGACTATATATTTACAACCATTTTGGTACAGTATATAAAGATATCTTGCCTTTTTAAAATAGAGAAAGTTTATCAAATTCTGCAAATATAGGAAGTTTATCATCTATTGAAGAGAGATTTTGATATGCATTCATCTTACAAATTATATACAATTTGAAACACCTTTAGCTAAAACCATGGTTCATAAAATCTCCCTTGGCGGCCCCTAGCCTAAGTGGAAAATTCGCTATTATCCGAAACGATTTTCTTAAAATCCAATGTATATGATTCAAATTAGTTTAAATTATTTTAAATCAGTTCAAACCATTTTAAAAATTAAGAAATAATGTTAGATAACTTTCACAAATTTGTTTAATTTTTTTTGGATTATCTAATTTTGATAGTTCATAAAAATAATTTTATAAATTGAACCCAACAATATAAAAATTTAAAATACATATAAAGTAAATCAATGATTCGTTAATGCACAGGCTCCGCCTAGGCTCCGAATTATGCACCTATGCGCTAGTCCTCAGCCAAACACCTAATCACCGTCTTGTGATTTCTTGAACATTTTTCTGATGTGAAAAATCTTCCGTACATGTTTGTGAATAGTCTCTCTCTGTGGTTTCGTAAACAAACATCATCTTTTAACCCTAATACCTTTAATAGAAAAATTTAGTTTAATTTTTATTACTTTATTAGTACATTAACTCTAAATTATTTTATTTCTAGTCACCCCTGATTTTTATACCTATATTTTAACTCATTTGTGATAAGAAAAAACAGCAATTACGAAAATGCAATTATCATATTTTTAACAGTAGAACAATAAATCATTATGATTTTTCCATCAAACAGATTTATTTTACTAGTATCTTATGTAGTCACAAAGTTATTTTGAAATATTTATTTATTTATGTTCAGTCATAAATCTGCTTAAATTGGACAGATTCATTTATTATTTTTATTTCTATTTCTAAACACATATTTACTTAGTTTTGATACTTAAATAGTAATCACTAAGTTTATTTTTATATTTTCATAGATTTAATTAAATTGACAGATTTAATTAAAATTTAAATTATTTATTTATTATTGAACACATATTTTAAAATTTTGACAGATTAATTAAGAACTGGTAGATTTGTTTATGTTTTAATCGCCTATTATATTATGATTTGGTTAAATTTTTAGTTTTATCACATATTTAATTAATGCCACCAAACCAAGATAGTTGTACAAAACCGTAATAAAAAATATTTACTCTCAAAATTATTTTATCAACCAGAATTTTAAATTCATCGGAACTGAAATCACCTAAGCCAAAATTAATTTGAACTGTAATCATATAGACCAAAATATAAACTGAACCTCTTGGAAATTGTGTATTCCTTCGTCTCCCTTATATTTGTTGACGTTTTTGATTCCATTCATTTGATGGTTTAGAGTTCCAAGTGACTGAGTTAGAGTTCATAGTGATCTTAGAATCGTGTGGTCAGTATCGATTGTACGTGGCTGGTATCGGTTCATATTCTTCGAGAACCGATTTTCTTTTTCTTAAATAGGTTATCGTTTTTATTTGAGATAACCAGAACTTCGCCGCTTTCCCTATATATCTCTCTCTCACCATCTTTCTTAACCTCTAAATGGCAAACGATAATTCGGTCCTCATCTCCCGACAATTCTGATGGGTAAAGACATTGATGACATCTACGAACTCTGGGGGGTCGATTACGCCGTGGATATTCCTCTTCTGGAGGATGATTAGACTCCAGAGACCGTAAGGCCTGGATATTAAGGAGCTTACATGACGCATTTCAAAGATTGCGGCTTGTCATTTCCCCTTCCTCATTTCCTTCTCGAAACTCTTGCCAAGATAGAGATGGCTTCTACCCAGATGTGCCCCAACTTCTTTCGTTATTAATTGGTCTTGAGTTTGGTTTAAAGAGTTGAAGCAATTATGCGTTATTAAGAAGAATCAGGACTTTCTAGGTACAATGCTTCTTTCTCCTCGCTGGCCGTTCTATCATCGACGGCTTTTTTTAACTGTGATGACCGATGGACATAAAATGTTTTTGTGTTTAAAGTGAATCTGGCGTCGGTGGGTGATTTTTATTTTAATCGGATCCCTCAGGAGTGGTCGGAGGACATTGGTTTATTCTCTTGCTCCTATGTCTTCTACTTTTTCCTTTTGATCATCTTTCTTTTAAGAATTCTTCCTATCTGATTTAGATCTTTTTGGGAGCGCTCCGATGTCTCCCAAGCTTCGGAGTATGATCGAAATTTTACGTTGAGGTCGTCCTCGTTGGTTTGCTTTCAACGTTAATCGTATTTGAGCTGCTTATGCCCTCCCTCCTGGTCAAGTCCGTGCTGAACCCGTCGGATTGGCGGCTCCAGTTCGCCCAGAAAGAGCTCGACGGAGTGAGTTCACTATCCTTCGGCTTCCTTTAGAACATAGGTGCTTTTTGACTCTTATTTACATGTTAATTTTCCATTTTTCCTTTCAGACGAGGGAGGAGGAGCCTTCAGCAGAGGGTTCTAATGCATCCTCTGAGGCCGAACTGTTGGAGAGAACTCGGAAACTTCTCGAGGCCCGGTGCTTCGCTCGAGGTCGCAAGTTCAATCTCATAAGATTATGGCTAATCAGTTATCGGTTGCTATTCTAATCACCGGGTATCAGGCAGCTCCAGCTGTTTCGATTTATTCTGTCAAAGATCGTCCTCAAGATATGGATGTCGATTCTCTTGTTCATCGAGCTCGACGTAGTGTTCACGAAGAGATCTTTTCTGCGAGATTGAGTTCGTCTTTGCCAGGGGGTCCTTCTTAGGGGAAGGTACTTCTAGGCCGGATCCCGTCCGTGAGCCGTTGAGAGTAGAGGGAGCGTCTTCTCCGACGTTCCCGTATAACATGGGGGACGACGTTCTTGATTATCCAGAGAGGCTTGCCCATATCTGGCACAGAATTATGCCGAAGTACTGCAAGCTTCCTCCACTAGAGAAGATGTCTAATCAAGATGGATGTGTACAAATGGTGGTTGTGAATGCTAAGGTAAGCGAGCTTTTACTGCTGTGTTGCTTTTCTTTATAACGATATAAACTTGTTTGCTTTGACTAGGCTATTGAGGTGGGGAACGAATATGCTGCTTTGATGGATAAACGCTTAGCCAATTTCCCGAGCAAGGAGGAGATCGGGGATCGTCTGATCACGATCCAGCAACTCCGATCTTCTTTGGAGGAGACACGGGTGAGGGATCAGCGACGCACCAAGGAACTTCATAAATTGGAGGGAAATTTGGTTTGCGTTGAGAAGGAGAAGGTCGATCTTTAGAAAAAGCTGGTTCTTGTTGAGAAAGAGAACTTCGAGATCTACGGAGACCTCAAATCGATGAAGGAGAAATTCAAAAGGGAACTCGAAGGTCGCAATGTCACGGTTTTCAGGGCGTCTTGTCGTGCTCTTGTTCAAGTACCATGTGGTTTTGAGCTCGATGAAGGATAAGTTTCTTATGAGGAAGGAGGAGACGGCCGCGGAGATCCGTTTGCAAGAGGTGAGAGCTCGTATTGAATTCCTATCAGAGTACAAGAAGGGTGGTTTTGAGCTAGAAGAGGAGTTGTCGCATCTTAAATACAAGGAGCTTGATTGCATAGTTGAATATGGCACGACAGTGGTGTCCGATACTTGTTTTGGTCGTATCAATGTTCCTCAGGTATCTGAGGATTCAGTTAATCAGACAAGTTGAATGTTGGGTGTGTGTGTGTGTTCTCCTATTTTTTCAGTTTATTAATGCATTTTGGTACTTATTCTGAATTAACGTTGTTTGAAAACATAAATATATTTCAACGGACTATTAGGTAAGTACTGTTATAGTCGGTTGTTTTGGTATGATTTATCCTTGTTAGTTTCGGGCAAATGACAAAGACTGAGCAGGAATCTGCTTTGTGGGCCTTTATTTGGCCAAAGGATGTGTTTGTTTGTTTTGGCTGCACTCGACGTCGAGTTGCCTACGTACCCATTTCGAGGGATCAAGCCTTTCGTAGTTCTAGTTTGTTGTGTGAGTGGTGAGCAGCCTCCCATCTCGATGTTTGATCGGAGATTGGAATACCAAGTTTTCGTTATTTTGAGGTTGTAGGCGCTCCAAGGTCTTATCTCAGGGTGACCGGTTTTGTATTTCTCCAGCTCATAAACTCAGCTCGTATTTCTTTGGTTATTTTATAAGGTCCTTCCCACCTAGTTCCTAACTTTTCCGCTCCTTGTTCCTCCGTTCCGTTGAAAACTTTGCGTAATAATAGGTCGCCGGCGGAGAAGGCGCGGCTTCTTACGTAGAGTCGTAATAGTGTGATGCGACTTGCTGGTAATTATGTACTCATATCACCATTTTTTTCTCGCTGTTCCTCGATCATATCTAGCTGATTGATCAACAATTCTTCGTTGAGATCGGTGTTTTCTGGGCATAATTCTTCGTCGTTGGCTTGAGACCTCGATTTCTGCTAGGATTACGGCTTCGAGTCCGTAGGAAAGGGAAAATGGATTTTCTTGGTTTGGGTTGTGGGGTGTCGTTCAACAGGCCCAAATAACGCCATATAGCTCCTCACTCCACCTTTCTTTCTTGAGGTCGAGTCTCTTTGAAGGTTGTTCATTATAGTATTATTTGCTGCTTTGGCGTGACCGTTGCATTTGGGATATCGAAGACTTGCGGTCTTTGTTTTTATTTTCCATTTGTTGCAAAAAGGTCGTGAAGGTATTGGAAATGAATTGTGGACCATTGTCGGTTATAATTTTGTGTGGCAAACCATGTCGACATATAATGTTTTCCCAAATGAATCTTGTCCCCGTCGTGGCAGTTATCTTTGGATATGCCTCTGCTTCAATCCATTTTGTGAAATA